TCAAATCTTAGAAAGCAAGCTCAATGAGGCAAAGGCAGTCTCTGAGGTACCCGGGCCCTATGTCATGAAGGCTTTATAGGGCAGCACCTTGAATTGCACCTGGAAGCACATCAGTAAGCAGCACAGCTCATACAGCAGAGTGTCATATGGGTGTACAGAGACATCCCAATTACAGTCCAAATGTGAAGTGATCGAAGCAGGAATGAATGTGAGAAGGGATCTCAGTCCAGGTAAGAGTGCACTTGATGCACCAAAGAAATCTGGGTAAAGGCACTCCTAGCCAGAGCTGTCACCTGCTCCTCTAGTAGAAGATGAGCATATATTATTGGTTGATTATGTGCCATCTAGGCAGTGTCACCTCTCAGCAATCCCATATATAGATCTTCTTCAACATGATCTGTCCCAAATCAGGCTCTTCTGGTCTTCCAACAATGCCCCCATCATTACTGTAATCAAGTTCATCCACCTTGTTGCTGGTGGTCTTCTCTTTCCTTTTACTTTCCTAGCATTATTAGACTTTCCCAGAAAGTTAGGTCTGTGCATAATTGTATCCAAAATAGGATAACTTGAGCCTTGTTATTTACACCTCGGGTGAGAACTTTGGGTTGATTTTTTGCTGTGATCCATTTGTTTGCTTTCTTGGCTACCCACAGTATTCTCAGGAGTCTTCTCTAACACCAGAGTTCAAAAGCACTGATACTCATTCTATCCTGCTTCTTCAAATTCAAACATTTACTCCCATAGGGTATCATAGGGAAAACCATTGCCTGCATGATTCTGATCTTTGTAGATATAGACACATCCCAGGATCTGAATATCTTTTCCATGGCTTTCATTACTACACTACCAGTCTGGGGCATATTTCTTGACTTCTGGTTCCTATACTGTTGATAGTTAATCCTAAAAGTCAGAAGCATTTTCATTGTCAGTTCTAAGGCACTGAGTATCTGGCATACCGATGACCTGCTGATCTGGTAATCTCTCCACCCACCATGCCTACTCACAGCACTACAATATGTGTGTAACCTAAATGTACTTTTCTTAATTGTTCCCTTAAATCATTTTGATAGTGGGTGTTTTTAAAAGTATACAGAATCATTCAGTGCTGAAAGGCAATGGCAGGTTCTAGCAGCTAGTGGCTGCTATTGGCAGCACTCAGAAGAACTACCCCATGGAGTCTGCAAAATGACACCGAAGTAGACAGAACAGCACTGCCTCCTTCCCAAAATAATAAAAAAAGTAGAAAGCCTAGCCATATAAAATCCATTGTCAGCAGAAAACCTTAAATGTGCTCATTCTGGGACAGAACCAAACGTATAGCTCTTTTCCCGCCCTTGGGTTAGATTGGATAGGTGGTAGGATTGTGGGTTGTCTGATTTCTGAGACGGAGGTTGTTTTTCTCCAGACATTATTTTTGAATTGCGTAGATTATTTTATGTTACATTTTGTACATTGCACCTTGCCCAGGGTCATAATGGATTGGGTAGCCTATAAAATTTAGTAAAATTAATTAAAGGAATAATTCAAATGTCAGTCTTTTGACATTTGACATAGAGAGAGAGGTCTACAGTCTTTTGAAAGAGCATTAAATACAGGTTTAACAATAAATCTGCTGATTTTCCAAAAGACTGGTATAGCAGTGTATATCAGGAGCCCAAGATATGCCTGAACAACATTTTGTGAACTATGGATCAGACATTAATGCAGGCAGATGCATATGTGGAAACCAGGGGTCTGGTTTCTCCTGCAGCACAAGCCAAAATGGTCATGGAGGACAATAGCTGATGACCAGGGCAAGGGGGCATGGCAGTAGGAGCTTGTCAGATGTCAGCCCTGACCACATCATTACCATGGTTGTGAATAAGGCACTGCAGATCATTCATACACCAAGACTTTGTCAGGAGAAGACAGCAAACACAACTTTAAAACTGGAACAGCTAAGGACAAATTTAGGCTCCCTCTGTGATGGCTGCATCATGAAGACATGTTCTCTAAAACTGGTTAATGGGATGTATCCAAGGGGTGGTTGACAGGCCAGGTGGAAAAGCCATTAGAAAGACAGATGATATTTCATCTGTTTTGTATCAGCCTTGACTTGCACAAACAAGGATAGATGACTAACTCTATATAGTTTACATGGCTGGTTGAGATGAGCAGGGGGCTCAGTGTTGTAATGGACTCCCAGCCTGAGTCAGGACTGTTCATACTTCCATTTATACTTCCAGCCTTTTCAAAGACCCCTGGCATCTACAAACAGAGCCTTAGAGCAGGGTAGGCTGTTGTTGTCTTTTAAGTCAAGATAGCAGTCATGAATGAGCAATTGAAGTCCCCCCCCCCTTTTGTATATACATGTGTGTGTGATTACACATATAGAAAAGGGGAGAGTTTCAGTCATACATTTATGGCAGTCCTCTTTTCTTTTTTGATCCATCTGCATGGACACCTCTGGTTCAGAGCCACAAACAGTCCACCATAACCTTGAGAATGGCCTCCAGAATCCATCTAAAAACTGCTACCCAATTATAATCAAAAATATAAATTATTAAATGCATACAGATCAATCACATTATCAGTATTAACTAATTGCATTTGATTTTTATTTAATTGTACTGTAGTTTCATATCTTCCCACCCATTTCTTGTCTATTTGTCTTATCTACTTTTTGAAGTGTGGCTCCCACCACACAAAAAAAGTTGTGCAGCCTTGCTGTACTTTTTAAACCAGTGTAGGTGGGTGGAACCACTATCATGATTTTCCAGATATCCACAAACTGAAGCCTGAAATAGCTCACTTATGACTCCATCGTATGGCTTTATCTTGTATCTTTGGGATAAAAAATAATGAACTTTCTTTGAAAGACGACCTTCCGACAAAGCTGCTGCTATAAATCCTGGTTTACCTCTCAACTACTGACTGCTTCTTTAGAAACAACTATTTGAACTTGGCCACATGTTCAGAGGCAAATATTCTGTACATTCTTATAATTTCTCTATGGATAATTCAACAAGCCACAATTTCATCTTTTAACCAGCAGGTGGAAATCTTTCCTTAGGAAGAAATAGCAACAAAGAAAATGTTAGAATTTTATATTCACAAGTTGATTTCTTTAAATCAAGGGACCTCTTTTCTGGATGACAAAACCTGAAGGGATGCACTGGTTCTAGCCCAAATAAGGAACTTTGATACACCAATCATTTAAATGTGGAATAATGCAGCCCATCCTTTTTGTATTAAAATCAGTGCATTTAATTTATATTTCTATTTATAGCATATTTAGATGTTGCTTTTCAGTCCCATATGTGGCAAATAGAATATCCCCATGTTGATTTGCCCCACATTTTACATGACTCACCATTTCTCCCCTGAAACCTTTCCCATACTACGACTTCCATCTTCCAGGTCATTAACACGCTACCCCAATTCTTCTATCAGGACATTTCCCTTGGATCAATCCACCGCCTTTCCTCCAATCATATGTTTTTCATTTTTAGAAAATCTTTCAATATTCTCGTCAGGACGTAACTCATCACCATCACTACTCTGTCCCCCCATCCCACACACACCCAATTTTGCTTCATTGTCAATAGTATGGACTTTGCGATACTAGAAACTTTTAAGAGGAGGGGGAGAATCAGAGCTTCAGAAAGCATGAATCTATCACATGGTACATATGGTCTACCTTCCATTAAATTTTCAGAGAGGAAGATGTTACATTAAGTCATGTCCCCATGTATGAGGGACATGACTTCTACCCCCTCCCTTTGGGATGAGAGGGAAATTTCCCTATTTTTATGTAGTGTATATCCTATGTGGTTTTTTGGTTATACTGATCATGAGGAGGCAATCTGATGATTCCCAGTAAGGATGAAACTGGTCACATACTACTTCCTAGTGGTCAGTATATGTAGAAGGCAGAGGGAATGGCCTTGAAGGTCAGGAAGAAGAGCCACTACCAAGGCAATAGTCAGGCAAGCCCAGGCCAAGAAAGTAACTTGAGAAAACATCTCAGAAAAGGCCCTCACACATCACATGAAGATAAAGGGAGGGAGGGAGGGGAGAAGCATATTCAGACTTGAAATATCTATTGCTATAGCTGTTACAATAAAAGCAGTCCTGACCTATATGCCACTGGTTTCTTAGTCTGGTCTACCTTGTAGGGCTGACAACTTACTTACTTGTTTACTTATTTACTTATTTACTTATTTATTATATTTATATAGCTGCCCATCTCACATAAACGTGACTAGAATAGTCACATAAAATATAATAGGAAAACAAGAATAGCAGTAGAAGTTGATAGATCCTGGGAACCAAGGAAGGGGAAGACCTAGACTTATGTATAGATGAACCAAAGAGGCACTTATCTTGCCCAGGTGCTCCTCTGGATCCACCTACT